ATATGTTATGTTTTCTGGCTGGAGGTAGAGCAGTATGCTGTGTTTTATTAAAAGTAACGTGTAGAAATGTTTATGTCAAGTATTTTCATCCATTCCTGTTTGTATTTGAGTGGAGATAAAATAGTGTTTTACTCTGAGAACTGGTACTTGGTATACACAGAAGCCTTGGTGCTGAGGGATAAAAAAGTTGTGGTAGGTCTGATTTTCTTTTTAATCTGACCTCTCAGATTTACACAAATCTGTTCTCTATGAGATTATTCTAAACAAAAGAACACAAAAACTGATCGTCTGTACTTCAGTTCTTTAGCAGGGTATGATTTTGCCTGTGATCCTAATTATGAGAGGCTCGGTTCTGAAACAGTTAAAGTTCTTCAAGAAGCTTCTTCAAATTCAACTTAAACAATTCAGATTAGTTTTTATGCATACATCTTTAGAAATTTTCTCAAAAAACATGTGAGCAGAGCTCTAGATTATGTTCTTGTAGAGAGGTTAATGTGGGTTTTGCTTTAGACATTAGTGTTAACTTTGTGTTAGTGCAGTAAAATCTGGGTAATGTGAACTATTTCTGTTGCAGGTCGGGAGTTCCTTATCCCTTCACTGGCACACAGGTTCATAGCAGAGATGGTGGATTTTTTTATTCTGTTCTTTATAAAGGCAACCATCATTTTAAGTATTATGCACCTCAGTGGAATAAAGTAAGTTGAACAATTTAAAGCTTTGTTACATACAGCTTTAAGCTTTTCATGCTCTTTGAGGTGTCAGGTTGTATTTATGGTATGTTTTTGCATATGATATCATTAAATAAATGACAGAAGTTGAGGAACAGCACCATTAGGCTAACTTCATTGTAAATACATCCTGATTTTGGGTCAGCTATGGAAACACAGAATTTGTACTGGTCTGTAGGATCTCAAAGTCACTAACTACTAAGGAAAGATTAGACTTGCACATTTATGGAGGGGGGGAATAGCAAGATTACAAAAAAGTTCTTTTGAATTTTTGAAGAAAAAATATTGACAAACTTTTAAACAGTGTTCAAAATGTACTAGATCTGGCTGGGATTAAGTTAATTTTAGCATCTTTCATGTTAATGTATAGCACCTTCTGTGGTGCTGTATTTTAGATTTCTGACCTAAGCAATGCTAACCCCACAAAAACAATAAAATCTGATCAAGCAGATCAGATATGTATATACTTTGAAAATACATCCTGGTTGCTAGGAATACTGCCACACTGCAGGCTTCACTGGACATAAATTGGTTTCTTAAAAAGTGCAAGTAATCAAAGTGTGTGTCAACCATACACTAGACTGAAAGATTCGTCATTTCACATTTTTGTACACAGATGTAGTAGTTTACCTCAAACACTTCCTTTTTTAACTGCTTCTTTAACTGTAGATATGTTACTCCTTAACTCTACTTTTCTGCTTTGGGTTGGTGTACTCAATATTCCAGTCTGATTAAGAGATGAGATCTTGGGTGCAGTCGATAATTCCACTACTGTACAAAAACATTTTGAACCCAGGCCTTCTGCTCAAGAACCATCCAAACGTTGCCTGACTGTAAATTGATAACAGGCATACAGATAACATCTTCCAGACACCTTCACCTGCAGCTAGAAAGGGGTGTGGAAGAGGGTCAAATCCAAAACAATAAATACGTCAATGTAAATGATTGCTGGGTTTTGCTCAGATAAGCAGCAATTAAAATGCCAAACGTTCATTTCTGTTTAGTGGCCAGATCCCATCACCTGTAACCTGACAGTTTGTGTTTCTACTTTGCCTTTAGTAGGTGGAGAATGATACAAAGTGAAGTAGTGGAAAGATGGGGAACAACTATATGTATATTGCTGCTGTAAAGTGATGAAAGAGTAATTTACAGCATTTTCAATATTAATAGTTTTGTGAGACAGTTGCTTACAGGGAACTTTGGAGAAATGTTCTGAGAGGTTTTCTGCTTAAGAGACACAGTGTGCTTGGGGTTAGGCTGAATTGTCCTGGAAAACATAGGCCGCCACAGGCTCAAGAAAGACACTTCAGGCCAAAGCTGCATTGAAAGGAAATGTAGGTTGTGCTACATTGGTTTTTTAATTCCTGGGTTGTTTGAGGGTTTTTTCTGTCCTCAAGTGTGAATAAAAAGGAGGGCAGGTAGCACAAATATTAGATGGACTGTTTCAAAGTAGGACTGCACAGTTCTATGTGAGCCTTAATTAGATGCGTGAGTGAGAAATTCTTGCCTTAGTGTGTTGCAAGTATATCCATTTCAGGTATCAGATAAGAATGTTACATCTGTGGAGTTTATCTTAAGAAAAAATGCCATTAACTCCAAATGGATGCTTTGCATAGCTCTGTTAGGCCTAAAACCTTAAGGTTTCAATTGCTTTATGTTTGAATCCTCCTATTGCATACCAAGGTGCCTCCAGACAAGTATGGTGAGCCGTAAAGAATGAGAATGAGGAACCCTGATGAGAACCTTGATCATGCAGAGGAGGATATAGGGCTCCCCTGATTTCTTAGGGAGACTGCCAGCTTCTCCCTTGCATTCGTAAAGAGTGCCCTTTTCTTTTTCCTTGAGTGTAGTGTAAGAAGATACTTGGAGACTTGGATGCCTTCCATTTGTATCAAGTTAGATGATTATGTGCAAAATCTGTTTACCTCCCAAGAAGTGTGAGGATTTTCAGAACAATTCTGCAGCTCACTACCCAGGGACACCATTGTGCAAAAGTGGTAATAAAGAATGGTCTTTTCTTAATGAAAAAGACAAAACAAACTAGGCAGTAACTCAGAATGAAACTGAATGTTCTGAATTTTAATGACTTGTTTAGTATCAGAGAGGGCAAGGAGCTTTTCTTGTCTTATAATACCAGAACGGAGAGAGTGAATTCTGGTATTAAAGGGGTAACACTGGTATTGGGAGAAGGATGGTTTTAAAGTTCAGTTTTATTTTGTACAGGGACATCTCTAAATTTGCCATGCATTACATCATAGAAGAAATAGATGAAGATACGTCCATGGAAGATTTGCAGAAAATGATGATAGTAGCTCTCATCTACAGGTTATTAGTCTGCTTTTATGAGGTAACTACTCATAAGCAATTAATAGTTGTAATTAATAGTTGTGAGTTGTTGAAGAAATGGTTTTAAAAAATAATGTTATTGTTGGCCAATAAAGTAAATCCTCTTAACGGTATTTTGGATTATGTTGAAGCTTATGACATTCACATAGTTGAGGATAACCAAGTTTGGGAGACCTATCAACAACATGGTGATGTGTGGACTTAAAATAACCTTTCTTTTACAGATAATCTGTATTTGGGGAGCAGGTGGAGCAACCCCAGGGAAATTCTTGCTTGGACTGCGAGTTGTGACGTGTGAAACTTCTGTCCTTATTGCACCCAGCCGTGTGTTAGTCATTCCATCCTCTAATGTCAGCATGACAACGTAAGTGCTCCTGGCTCGGTCTCGCTGCTTTCAGGTTAACAGTGTCGAAAGCGTAGGATTTGGAAGGAAGTTCACTGTTGCTTTGTTGTTGACCTTTGCAATAATTAGCCTGCAATAGCTATTGTCAGATTCTGTGATCTAAGAATAAAATGGTAATTATTCAGTCACATGGAGTATTTTTCAGGGTAGGTGATTAAATCTCCTCTAGAGCTTGACTTTTGTGCTGTGCAAAACTTGGGCACTAAACTTTGAAATTAACTACTAATGTAAGCAGAAAAGTGAAAGTAAGGCACTGAATGTTCTATTCTGATTTCAGGTCCACAGTACGAGCTTTGATCAAGAATTTTTCTATTGCATCATTCTTTCCTGCATTCATTACACTGCTGTTTTTCCAGCATAACAGAACCGCCTATGATATTGTAGCAGGAACTATTGTGGTCAGAAGAAATGGAGTCAGATGATACCAAAAAATGAGATTTCCGGACTGGTTCTAAACATCCCCTCCGAACCCCAGTGAATAAAAGACCTACCCCAGAACTGAAATTGAGGTGTCTGTTGGAATCTTTTGCCCTAATTAAATAGGAACTGATTCAGAAGCTGAAGAAAATGTATGGTTCCTCTATGATGCCAGCAACTACCTTTGAAATATTGGAGTTTTCATAGACACCAAAGAAGTTTGGGAGAGAAAATACGTATTAAATCCAGGAGTATTAACCTCTGACTGATGAGACAAAACCTGCCTGCTTTAACTGCAAAAAGGAGCTGTTCTGTTTGTCAGTCTGTGGAAAGCAGATCCCTAGGAATATGCCACCTTAAAAGAAATGTTGCTCCTACAATTTTGGATGTTGGCAGATAACTAGAAAATGAAGTTCTTCTCCAGGCCGTTGCCTGTCAAAGGACATGGAGGAAGAAACCTGCAGTATTAGACAGCAAGGCAAATGATGTTAATTAAATTGCCATGTATTTAGAGAGATCAGCAGTGGTTATCAGCATCTTTTATTATTGCTTCACAGATGGTATTTCTTCACCTTTTAAGTATTTTCTCACAACATTGATGTGAAAAGGTTTTTTGCATGATTGTCTCAAGCACTGTCACTTACTTCACTTGTCCAAGCTAATGAAGAAGTGAAACAATAGCTGCTTTTTCCTCTGGGAAGGGTATGTTACACTGCAGTGTTAGTGATCTGGTGTGTGTAAATAATTCTGGAGCCATCAACAATACAGACCATGCTAATGAAAGGTAACTTTTTTGCTTCTGTTTGGAGTGAAAGCACTTGTCTATTTCTTGCATATAATGCAGAACAGAAGTGAATGTGTTTCAGAAGCATGCAGAAAGCATTAACTGAAATGTATTATGGGTGTAAATCTGCAGTAGTACAAATACTGGTTATTTTCACTTTATCATTCTGGCTAATTGTTTGTATATTCAGAATAACTTAAATACTGAATAAAGAAACCTAATATTTTGCATGACTATATCGCTTTGATGATTCATTTATTCTCCTGTTATTAGCATCTCAGGAAATTAATGTAAGCAGTATTAATGTTTTACTGAACTCTGAGTCTGGAACTCTTTAATCAGTTTTTGTATGTTCCTCTCTTAGGCTTAATATGCCACCCTCAGTGACTGCAGTTCTTGCCCTGCCTTCAACTTTGCCCAATGGCTTGGTTGACAGGAGAAATGTTTTGAGAGCTTGGCTATGGCTCTTATCTCCAGGTGTAATATCTTAATCAGTAACATGTTCATATGCTGCAATATTTTTGTTGGACTAATTGTGTTCTTCTGTGTCTGACTGTATTGTGCATGCATTTCAGTTTTCATTGGGAATGATTATTCAGGACTAGATCCCATGCTTATAGTTGCAGAATGATATTTTGCCATCCATCTCCAGAATGAGGTCACTAACATTTTAGGTAACTACTTTTAAGTATTTATTTGTGAAGTAAAGGAAAAAAAGTTGTCTTGGCTAGAACACTGTTTTAGAGCCCTTGCCTAATCACATTTTTTGAATACTCCCAGAGATGGTGATCCTACTACTTACATGGACAGCCTCTTCCAATGCTTGACAGCTCTTTCCATTAATTTTTTTCCCCTAACATCCAGTCTAAACCTTGTGACACCAACTTGAAGCCATTCGTTGTCCTACCACTTCTTACCTGGGATGAGAGACCAACCTTGCCCCGCCCCTGGCCTCCTTTCAGGCAATTGTAGAGAATAAGGTCACCCCTGAGCCTCCTTTTCTCCAGGCTAAACACCCCCAATTCCCTTAGCTGCTCCTGACAGGGCTTGTGCTCCATTCTTACACAGACTTAAGCACTGAGGCTGTGCATGGCAATCAGCCTGATGAAAGCTAAAGCTATCAGAACCAACTTAAACGTCCTTTCTAGGGTAATTTTTGCCTATTCACAACAAGAACTTTTATTTCCTTTAGTCTAGCAGTGACCTAAAAACTAGGATTCAAAAGGAGGGGGATGGGGGAGGAAGGGAAAAGCGACACTGTTGGCTAAAACTTTATTACTCCAATTCAGGTATAAGGGAAGGTATCTCTTACCCTGCAGAAAAATTCCACCTTTTCCAGCAGGTAAAGAAAACAGTTACAATGCAAGAACACAGAGCCTGTCCGTGGAAATAGGTATACATTGTGCTGTTGGCTGGCTTTTAGTCTGTCTCTTATGCAAGCTTCATCCCAGATGTGGCTTGTTTCTGCTTGAAAGACAAGTGCTTGGCAGGTGATTTAGGGCTAAGGGGGACAAAGTGGAAATCTGTGGCATTTTTCACATGTAGACAGCTGTAAACAGGTAATTGCATATAATCCTTTCATGGCTACAGTGGCATGATCTGACTGCCTGAATAGCAGTGAGAGTGTGTGTGTGGTTTGAAAGTCAAGTTGCTGAGCATTTTCTGTTTCAGAAACAGTGACTGGGGCACTGAAAAGAGCAGTAAGCCTTTGCTCTCTTGTCATGTCCAGCTTGTGCTTGAAAGGCATCTCACACCAGCAGCACCTGCAGGAGCAGGAGCAGTGCTGGGATGCATGACAGAAGTGCCAGCCAGGGCCCCAGCAGTGCCTCTGAAGACATTTACACCACTGACAGTGATGCAGTCTCTGCCCTTCTAGCTGAGGGGAGAATTAATATCTGAGTCAGAGATAGACTGCTGTGACTTGGTACAAATTCAGCTGTGGGTCCCCAGATGAACAAGCATTTCCTCTGATTTTACTAGAATAATGTCTGTTCTCCAAGAAGTTCCTGTAACTGCTACAGAAGCGCCCACCCCCTATTACTCATTTCCAGTCTTCACTTAGAACAGTGGTGAATGTTTATAAGCATTGGGTTGGGTTTCTTTAATAGCACTACAAAAAAATTAACTGCAGTCAGCTGACACATTGCTAAGCTGCTCCAAGCTTCAGCCTACAATAAAATTCTCCTTCCTAACAGGAGACTTCTAAATTTAAGATCCTCTAAAAACAATGGGAGAAAGCAGAGCTTGAAGAAAGCACAAGACATTGCTCAGGTTGAGGGAACCACCTCATACAGTTACAGCTGGGGATGCCTTTACAGAGAGTTAAAATTGCCAGGTAATATTTCGCAGTTTTTATTGATGGCATTTATCCCATGGTTTAACATGTTAATTATACTGTAATAAACATGGCTTTAATATTAAACTTTTCCTTATTATCCAAAGTCACCACAGTCCATTTCAGTAAATATAAAAATATATACTTAATACTTTGTACAATACTGGTTTTTGGTCCAAACAAAAATGGATCAGAAAAGCCAATAAACTTACTTTAAGAATTCCCAATTTTAAAGATTTTCTAAATGGATTTAGGCAACTTTGAATAATGGGATTTACATAAAATCTGAGACAATACTAAACAAAAATGGCTGTAACACACAAAATTAAAATTTCAATTTCACAGATTTGTTATGCCAAAAAAGTACATAGAGAAACAAAATCGTATTTACACATCTCATAATAAAATAACAAGGCGAGACAGGTGATAAAGGGCTGTAAGAATGAAAATATAGAAATAGCATATAATTATTAAATGAAGAACTACAGATCTAACAAGTCCTTAGCATGGATCATCCTTTAATCAGTCTTCCCCTATCAGAAAATTTTAGTGCACAATACACCCAAACTCACTCACTTCACACATACACCAGCACAAACTCAGCATAGAAATCATTCGTTATCAACATTCTCTACTCTATACAGCATCCCTCGCTGATATAATTACAATTTCGAGGCGTCAGTAAACGCGGATGAGCGCACGTAGTGGTGCGGATGAAGAGGTATCGACAAGCCATTCACTGTGCAGGCTCTACTCAGGGCTACAGCCAGACCATGCCGAGTCAGTGAAAGAAGTAACTTGAGACTTTTGCTTGAGAACAGCCTTGTTGCCAACTTTACTTGCTACCAAAAAAATAACGGGGAGAGGGGAGGGAAGGACAGGAAAGCTAAGTTTTATATTCCTTTAGGCAGATCTGACTTCCAACAAGCCAGCGTGAGGTACAATCCCAGTAACTGAACAATTCAGGGTAGTAGCTGAACATTTCAGGATAGTAGCTGAACAATTCAGTCAGGGTAGAAGCTGAACAATTCAGGATAGTAGCTGCTTCCAATGTTTGTGATGCTTTACCGATCAGGAGTTTACTTTCTACGTCTAATTGCAGTCTTTATCTTCCGACCAGCAACTGAAGATCCAGAGGCAGAGAAAACATTTTTCCCATTAGTCCTATTAAAAGAAATTAGTAGTTCAGAGTTTAGGACAGTGTAGCTGAAAATTCAGTAGCAGCACTGAGCAGATATTCCAGAACAACTGTTTCATAGTCTTGTCTCACTAGTTACCAGCTGGCAACAAGCAGCAAATGACGAACAGAAGGAAGAGAGTTCCAGAAACCAATTTAATCTCTCTTATTCAGAAGGTAAGCAGCAGCATAATGGCTGGATACAGGTTCTACCTTTCAAGAACAAGAGAATCTCACATGTGTTGATGTGTGACATTCCTGACAGCTAGGCTCCTTTACAGATAGCGGTGCTTAGTTAGCCAGTCAGGCTAATAAAAGGAAGGATGCCAAATTTAGTTTCAAACTCCAAGGTTCATCTGAACACCTCATGATTTAACAGCAGCAGAGGCTGAACACTGTCCACTGATATTACCCGAAGCTCAAGGGAAATTCTGATATGGTCTCTTACCCCACTGTAAATGTTGGAGGCTGGTTGAACGAAAATCCTGAAGTGCCAGAAGGTGGTGCAGGAGCTGCTGATGCAGGAGGATTTGCACCAAAAGTAAATACTCCTGGGTTATTTGGAAAGCTGAAATTAGTAGTATTACTTCCAAACTGGAATACAGAACCTGGGAAGATGGGGTGGAAGCAGAAGGAAGTAAGAAAGCTGAAATATGAGTTCATGCTTTTCAGTAAAATTCTCATGTTCCTCCCATTATCTTTAAAGATTATTCTTTTTACAGGTTGCTCAAGATGACAAAGTTGGAGGGGGATCCACCAGAAGCATCAGATTACTACAGGAACAGTTTATTGAATTCACAGAATCACTAGGTTTGAAGAGACCTTCAAGACCTTTGGGTCCAACCAATGCCCTAACACCTCAACTAAACCATGGCACCAAGTGCCACATCCAGTCTCTTTTTAAAACACATCCAGGGATGGTGACTCCACCATTCCAGTGGGCAGACCATTCCAGTCTTTATCTCTCTGTAAAAAGCTTCTTCCTAATATCCAACCTATATTTTCCTGTGACGCATCTTGAGGCTGTGTCCTCTGGTTCTGTCAGTTGCTGCCTGGAGAAAGAGACCAACCCCCACCTGGCTACAGCCACCTTTCAGGGAGTTGTAGAGAGTGACAAGGTCACCCCTGAGTCTCCTTTTCTGCAGGCTAAACACCCCCAGCTCCCTCAGTTGTTCCTCACAGGGTCTGTGTTCCAAGCCCCTCACCAGCCTCGTTGCCCTCCTCTGGACGTGCTCCAGTGTCTCAATGTCCTTCCCAAACTGAGGGGCCAGAACTGGACACAGCACTCAAGGTGTGGCCTCACCAGTGCTGAGTACAGGGCAAGAATGACCTCCCTGCTCCTGCTGGCCACACTATTCCTGATACAGGCCAGGATGCCCTTGGCCCCCAGGGCACACTGCTGGCTCATGTTCAGCCGGCTGTCACCAGCACCCCCAGGTCCCTTTCTGCCTGGGCACTGTCCAGCCACACCATCCCTAGCCTATGACACTGCAGGGGGTTATTGTGGCCAAAATGCAGGACTCAGCACTTGAACTTATTAAACTTCCTCGCATTGGACTCTGCCCATCCATCCATTCACACAGACTGAGGAATTTTTAAAGTAAATACTGCTGGCACACTGATAATTACTTGTTTGCTAGCTTCCATGCCACTATTAGATTTATACCTGTGCATACTGAAGTTTATTAATCAAGTCTTAAATTGTAAATTTATATTCAGGTAAACTTTCCTGTGTTCATGCAATGGATCTGGGGACTTCTTTTCCTTTAATGTGCCAGGAGTACCTTGATCTGAAAAAACTCCAAACATTCCAATTATCAGAGTAAACTAAGAAGTAATACAGAAAATCCAGAGAGAACTTTACCTTTAAAATGCTATCTGATTAATGAAAGATCAACTGAGTAATGTGTTGTGCACTAATCTGCTTGTACTAATCTACTGATCAGTACAAAAATGTCAGCTACTTTTAATGGAGGTTATTTTGCAAAACTTCTGAGAGGAAAAAAGGAGGCTTTTCCCTTTCAGTATTTGATGTGATATCAAATAGACATTCTGGCACTGGTTTTGTTTTTTCATTATTACTAGTATGGAACTGGTCTTTCTTAAGTTACAAGGTTCATTCTCTGCCCCTTTCCCATGGCATTTTATACTTCATTAGTAAAAAGATCTTAATACAGTCTTAACCCATAAATGCTTAAAAAAAACCCCAAAGAATTCTGACTGTATTTTATGCAATAAAATGACTGATTCAATTCTCCAATAAAAAAATAACCATTTTGCACTGTGTCTGCTCTTTTGTTTTACACAATCTTACCAATGATTACTCTGTGATTTTCAACAGTTCCTTTTAATCATTAGGTTTCTAAAGAAAATAAAGCTCAAAATTTAGTTGTAGAGTTGCAACCTCCATGTCTGCTAAGTCTCTTGCAGAAAAGGCTTACTGTGAAGCTGGATACCCATGGCACATTGTGTCTCCACAGTCAGGACTGGGACATAAATGACAACCCTATACCCATTATTTTTATGGACGGCAATTGCTATATTTAAATACACACACAAGGCTGAAGTCATCTTTCTCCATATAATTCATGAAAAATAAAATAAAATATATATATTCCTAAACGGGAGAGGATGGTGAGCACTCACCAGCACTGGGGGTACCGGAGCCAAAGGCTGGCTGCTGGGCTGCCTGCTGTCCGAACACGGAGGGCTGAGTGCTGCTTGTCACCGAGCCGAAGGCAGAGGGAGCGGGCTGAGAGCCAGCAGAAAACAACGGTGTGGACAGCGACCCAAAACTTGGAGCGCTTTGCTGCCCGGAGCCTGGGCTTGGCCCGAATGCTGGTAACTGAGCGGCGCCAAAGGCCGGGCCAGCAGCAGGCGCTGCAGGCCCAGAGCCAAACAGAAACGAAGACGATGACCCTTGGGGACAGAGAGGGATGTCAGAATGGGCCCCTTCCCTCCCACCCTCCAGAATGAATCCAGAAACAAAAGGTTCTCAAGCATCAGGTCTGCTGGCTGAATACTCAACCTAATTTCAAACTAATCGTGTGAGTATATCAGACACTACCTCAGCTACAACAGGAATTGCATCTTTTCTTTTAAGTAACATGAGAAATATGGTGTTTATGAGAGTCAGACAAAATTAAATCTCAAACACGCTGGCTGCCTTTTCATGTTGCGCAGATAGATTCCTACAAACTGTGTGTTTTAATCTGCATTTACTAATACGCATGGAATATTCATTCAAACTGGATTTTTCCAACCTGCAAAATACAGCTCCTGATTTATTAGGACTAGGAGAACATGTATCTTTTTCTTTCAGCAGCTTCACCTCTCTCCTGTTTAAGTGTTTATCAACTTCTGGAGGCCAAATCAACCTTGCAGAAATCTCAAAATCTTGGTTTAGCAGTGTAATTCTCTACCTATCATCAAGAGAGAAGCAGCCCAGCAGTTGAGCTACATGGCCAGCAGAAATAATGAAATGCACCTGAACAGTGACTCTGAAAGTACATGGCAGACCTGCTATGCCAAAGGGGCATTTTAAACAGCATTACTAATGCTCATGCAACAGGAAATACCCTCTAATTGTGCCATAACTTGGAACAGCTGACTTTCTTTCCAAGATGAGATACATGGTAAAACGCAGGTTTCTGAATTTGTGAAGATGTTTGAAATAAGGTGTCACTTACTAACAAAATTACACTGAATGTAAGCAGTTCAAATTGATCTGCTGGTTGTTGTAATTTAGGACTGTTTTCTCTGTTTCTGATCCACAAAAAAGTGTGCAAATTAAACTTTTGTGACTCACAAAGTTAAGCCATCAGGATCAAACTAGATTAAGTCTTTTCCTGACAGATTCAATCTTATTTCCAACATCCTGCGTGGCTCATAGGAATACAGATAATTTGGTGTATTTAGTTCATGCAATTCAGGCAGTGGAGTAACAAATATAAAACATGAAGAAACTCTGTATTTCTTACTGCTGTCTTCTCTTAATTGCTAGAAAATTAACATGCACTGGCCATGGCCCTTAGTAAAAACCAACCCTTAAGCAGCATTAATTAATTGCATATTGAGGTACTCCATTTATAGATACTTGTGAGGGAAGGACTTGGCAAAGCTTGACATTTCCAGGAATTCGGAGTTTTAGGTATAGAAGCGCAAAAGCAGGAAAGTTGTAATTCATTGACTTCTAACTGTAAACACCGGACTAACAGTGACTCAAGAAAGAAATTATCATTCCCATGGTGAAAAGCTCCTGTACAAACTGAAATCCAGTAAAGGTTTGTCCTTTACAATAAAACTACTGTGGTGCCAATTCATTCCTAAACTGTATTTCCCACACTGAAGGAAAATTAACATTGCTGAATATAAATCCTCTGTATTTTTCTCTACTTCTATGCATTGAGCCTGCACATTTTCCAAAGTAAAATATTAATGGAACAGCGTCTCCTTAGTCTACTACATAATGGCAAAAATGAGAAAATGAGAAGAGCAGCTATTTAAAACGTACCTGTTGAATTTGATGTAGTTGTGGCTCCAAAAGTAAATCCTGAATTTGCTGCATTGGTACTGCTCTCTCCTGAACGAAAGAGAAACGGAGTGAGAGTTGAGCCAGTGCTGGAAGATGTGGTTGCTGGTTTGTTTTCTTGAGAGAAGCCAAATGACTGAGATGTTGCAGATTCTGCAGGATTGCCAAAAACAGAGCTGGTCACAGTGTTGCTGGGTTGTCCAAACACGAAGGGAGTGGGAACTGGCTGAGGGTTTGAGGAAGAGAGGGTGCTGCCAAACACGCTGCTGCTGTTGGCTGAAGTGGTGGGTACCACTGTGCTGGAGGAACTGGAGCTCAAGAAGCTGAAGGATGCTCCTTGATCTGAAAGGAAGAAACACAGTTACCACTAAGTCACACAAATGGCGTTTAACAACAGAGAACTTTTCACACAGCAACCATCACTGAAAAACTTTAATCCTCCACTGCAAACTTTCAACAAATTAAAGGATATAAAACTGTGCGATTATGTATGAAGCGATTTTTGCACCTTTATAGCAGTAGAGAAACTGCAGCACAGCTGCAAGTAGACAGAAAGAAGATATTCCCTCTCTTCTTCCCTTTCACTATAAAAAACAACACTAGTATGAGGCCTCTATACTGCACCATATTACAGATTTTATCACCAACTAAGCTGCTACTATTGAGACAGTACAACTTCTGTGCTTAAACAAGCAGTGATACAGGTTCCTTAAGGTGTGGCAATTTTTTTTTGTCTCAACATAGTATTAAAACTCAGTGAAATCTACAAAGAAATTGCTACATATTGCCTACACATCAACAACTAGAACTAAAGACAGGCTGCAGGTAGTATATCAATCCCACAAATGTTGTCCAGTACAGCCTCAGAGGGATTATTTGATAGAGCAGAGAAGTGAAGGCAAAAGATGTTCTGTTTACCGGAAGTACTGGCTGGTGCCCCAAAGGCAAAAGGTGCCTTTGCCTGCTCACTTTCCTTTTCTGATGGTTTACCAAAACTAAAATTGAATACAGGTTTTGCTGTGTTCTCCTCTTTGGTATTCTCAGCTGTCCCAGATGAAAAGATAGGCTGTGCCTTTAACTCTTCATTGTCAGCTTTCTTTCCAAATGCTAATGGACCAGCAGAAGTGACAGAGTCCTGCTTCTCTTCTGCCCTTCCCAAAACAAACTGTGAGGCAGGTGCAGACTCCACACTGCCAAAAGAAAAGCCTCCCTTCGTTGAAGCAGTTTCATCCTTTTTCTCATCTGACTTCTTAAATGGCAAAGCAGGTGACGCTGCATCCTTTTCTGCCACAGTTCCAAAAGTGAAGCCACCGACTCCAGTTTTATTCTCATTAGTAGCTATGGAAGAAGTAGAACTTGTAGCAAAACCAAAACCTCCCAAAACTGGTTCCTCTTTCTTTTCCTGCTGTCCCAGACTCGTCGTTCCAAACTGAAATGTTGAAGGAGCCTGACTGCTTGTAGATGGAACTCCAAAGGTAAAACTGTTACTTTTACTTTCTTTTTTGCTGTCTTCTGATTTAGAGTCTGAGGAAGAAACTCCAAATTTGAAGTTTCCTGAACCAGTAGGAAATTTAAATCCTCCAGTCACAGTGTTGGACGATGCAGATTCGGATGCAATGCCGAACTTAAAGCTACTTTGTTCTCCAAATTTAAAATTTCCTGTGCTACTTAATGTTTGAGAGGATTCAGAGGATGATGATGGGACACCGAATGTAAATGATGGCATTGCAGCATTTGTAGACACAGTAGCAGTACCAAAACCTGCAGAAATAAGCAACAGTGTAAAATTTGCAATATATGATGTAATACATGCAGGCTTTAGCTACATGGATGGGATTCTAGTCTTGAGCTTTCCCAGAGTCAAAACTGTTCAACAAAACACCCCACACACACGCAGACCAGTAAGGAAACTCCACACTTCCTCTCTACACTTCCTCTCTGTATCTTTTTGTCATGGTGCTCTTCTGCGCAGCAACTGGCTTGGAAAGGCACACAGCTGAGCTCTTTGAGAGACCGTGGTCTTTGTCTAAACTCCAAATGAACAACACACATAAGGGCTTGAAACAAACAAGTGTGTCACTGACACAAGCTTTCCTCTAAAAAACCCAATCCTTATCTGGAAAATGGGTGTGGAAACATGCACACCATCTTATTTAAGCAATATTGCTAAACAACAAATGGACAGTTTTGCCATACTCAAAGGAAAAATCACTATACTTAAAAAAAAAAAAAAAAAAAAAAGAAAGAAAAAGGTTGCAGAATGCACATCCTTGTTCTTCTCAGTAAGTATTACCTTTGAGCTCTGCTTTGGTGCCTGGCTTCGCACTTTCACAGGCTATGCATTTTGTGGCTTCTGCTTTGTTTTGGACCAAGCAGACCTCACATTCCCAACTTCCTTCAGGCATCTTGAATTTGTCTAAATCCAGAAAACCTCCAGAAGAAGCAGAAACGCTGCTACTGGTCACAGGCACTGAACTCCCTGAAAAAGAAGAAAAACAGTTTATCATCCTGCTTAAATCATACACAATCTTTTAAGAAATGCTCACTAAATTGCAAAGCACACAAGTGTAACAGTAAAAAAACCTCAAGCTACAAGTTGATTTGAGTCAAACACAATCTGAGAATGTAAACAATAGAAACACCTGGATTCTTCTTTATAATCTATACATGAATTCAAGAACAAATTGAACCAGTGACATTTAAACAGCAACTGCAGTTCATAAAATGCAGGAACACAGCCAATTTCAGATG